GTAGGCCATACTGATATTGAGCTCACAACAACGGACGGGCTCTTGAAGGCAAACTTCTTGGTTTGGACGTTGTAGTTGATCTTTCAGCAACAGATCGTGCGTTAAAGTCCTCAATTTTCACTGACTTATGCTTTATGGCTTGCTCAACCAGTCTTCTATAAGCTCTCTTCGATCCCACATTCAAAGTTTTGTAGGTACATACTGTACGATTATCGCTCTCAGAACAACTTACTTCGGAGACTACCTACGGAGCTCACTCGTATTAACGTATATCCGCATACCGGATAAACTGGTTACCTGAACGCGTTCTGGTAGTTGACCATCATCATATCTGCTTTTCTAGCTGGATTGTTTTCACATGACTAGATAGCAACTAGGACTACAAGTCATCCCAATTTGCTTCATCCTGTAGTGTGCCATTCGCTTGTCTATACAAGATTAAAGCTTGGATGAAGGTCTCAAGCGCAGCGGAGAACGACTTCCTCGATCAGTCACACGCTAGTTGCAGCTTGAGTTGCATTGATTGCCTAACAGCAGGTCCACAGCAGTATCTTCCGCATTTATGAGTGTTTCAGAGTCCCTTGAATTCCATCTCTCTCTCGCTCCTCGCCGAAATTGAGCCAGTCGGCCCGCCATCTCCTTTCCACATTTCCTTTCCTTATCTTCCTTATCTTTTATTCCCTTGCTCGATCTTTCTTGTTCTAATCATTATCTGGAATCCATCCTGAGCTCTTGCTTTCCTGCCCCTTATACAGGTGGATGTAGCAGGCCGAGGGTTCTGGAAAAGCAGCAACTACATGCCTGCCGTATCTCCAGCTAGTCTCAAACAGAATCTTAGAACGAACCAGTCTTGTTCAGACCATAAGATCTGAGGATATTACATGCAAGTTGAAAATTTGATATGATGTAAAAGGCGGAACAATGACACCACAGAATGAGAGAAGCTCTCTCAAGCGCGGAAGGGTACATCAATCTACCGCGTCCGTGCTAATACCTTATCACGCAAGGCTAATTGATTGAAATCTCATTGTAGGTACACAAGGAGCATGATTCGAAGCACCTCAAGAAAGCGCGACGGTCTGAAGCATTACCACCACAGCCAATTGATCAGTTATACCTACCTACACCTATTGTCCAGCAGGAGTTGAGCACTAGAAGCGACGATAAAGAGCTAGCTGGAACTGCGAATGACACAAAACGCGTCCAACAGTGTAGTACGCCCTTGAGTACTGGGTTTCAGCCAAGTCCATCCCCGCCTCACGATACACAGGCCCTCTCTCAGTTTGTTTATCCGCCCAGAGCATTTGCCGATGAAGTTGAAGACGAAGCCGCGGAAGGGGTTTGGGGTTATCTCCTTCCCCTCGACGACAAGGCTCCATCCTCTCTGGTTTTGCGCAAAAGGGGTAGATGTGAGAGCCATGAGCTTGGATCTGACGGAGTCATGCAAGGAGAAAAAGGACATCGCAAGGAGCCTGGGTCAAAGAATAAGCGAGCGAGTTTGCAGGCACCGGGAGGCTATCTTATAGGTCGCCATCGTGAGTGTGGTCAGTAAGATATGATACCATGTCCAATTCACAGATTACTAACAAGAAGTCAGATCTTGTCCTAAACATTCCCACTGTGTCCAACCGTCACTTTCTGTTGTTTCCTGAGAACAAGAAAGGTGATTCAATTGCTATCCTAGAAGATTTGTCTAGCAACGGGACGTTTGTCAACGATGCAATTGTTGGACGTAACCAACATCGAGAACTCGAAGATGGTGACGAGATCACAATTCTCGACCAAGCACGCTTTGTTTTCAGATATCCTCGGACAAGGGATACAAATCGCTTTCGTCAACAGTATAGAATCCTTCAACAACTTGGAAAAGGACATTTCGCTAGCGTATACCTTTGTGTGGAACGAGCTACGGGAATACATTATGCAGTCAAACTGTTCGAGAAGCGTTCAAGTGACTCTCAAAAATCACAGGCTGACGCCTTACAACAAGAGATTGGGCTTCTGATGGGAGTCAGTCATCCGAATCTTCTATGTCTCAAAGATACATTCGATGAGAGCGATGGGGTATATCTTGTACTCGAACTTGCCTCGGAAGGAGAGCTTTTCAACCTGATTGTCAGCAAACAAAGGTTCTCGGAAACGGAGACTCGGCATATTTTCATCCAGATATTTGAAGGTCTGAAGTACTTGGTATGTGTCAGATGGACCGTTGTTGTATCATTCCTGGGTTAGCTGATGATCCGTCCGTGTTAGCACGATCGTGGCATCGTTCACCGAGACATCAAACCAGAGAATATTCTCATTGCAGATCAAAGATTGACAGTAAAGCTTGGAGATTTTGGACTGGCCAAGATAATTGGTGAAGATTCCTTCACAACTACTCTGTATGTCGTACATACAACATGTGATTTTCATAAGCATGTTTGCTAATCTCTAGTTCTTGCCTTACAGATGCGGGACGCCAAGCTGTAAGATACCCAGATACCCAGTTCCTCATCTCTCACTTCGAAATTCAAGCTGACTCTCTAGATGTCGCGCCCGAGATACTGCAGGAGTCTCGTCGGCGGAAGTACACTAAAGCAGTTGACATTTGGTCACTTGGGGTAGTTCTCTACATATGCCTCTGCGGCTTCCCGCCATTTTCCGACGAACTCTACACCCCGGAAAACCCTTACACCCTTGCACAACAAATCAAAATGGGCCGTTTCGACTACCCATCACCATATTGGGATTCTGTCGGGGATCCGGCCTTGGATCTGATTGATAAGATGCTCACGGTCGATGTTGACAAGCGCATAACTGTCGACGAATGCTTAGAACATCCATGGCTTACGCAAAATCACCTTAGTTTATCCGACAGTACGGATGGGCTGACCGGCGCCTTGGATAAATTGGACTTTTCCAAGCGTAAACTCGCACGCGAAAGAACGCTCCTCAGTCATATCAATGATGTCAGTTTCAACGAGTGCAAGGAGCGCAACGGTGCTACCGTGCGGGTTTTCCACAATAGTCATACTGGGAAACGTATTCACAATCACCCTGCCAAGGCTATCAAGGGTGGAGAGGCCTGCGACAACAACAGCGCACCTAAAGACTTCATCAACCTTGGGGAGCAGGGAGATCCACTACTATATCCGGATGAAGAAGGGCCCAGTCACGAATAAAGGTTAACGTTCTGTGGCGTTTATCTCAATTCCCTCATGTTTCAAATCAAAGTATTCTCTGCATACAGGATTACGATCCAATGCTTACATATTGCTTCTGTGAAAGCTTGTAGCTGTCACAGAATGCTGCAAATTAGTAATCCCTTGATAGTCATTTCCGACTGGTAATATCTCGCATGATCACCCTTCTTATAAGAGCAGTTATCTTTCATGTAGCAAAAAAATCACTGCAGTGGACCTGGTAGAAATTCGCTTGTAATTATGGATCATTGTTTGAGCCAGGGCCTGTCAGCATAGGTGATCTACTCGGGGTCTATTGCCAACAACATCCTTTGCAAATAGTTTAAAATTACAGCTTACACGTATGGCTTAAATTGTTTATTCGCTGGCGGGACTAAGCGATGGTGGTGATCTCAGGAAGGCATAAACTCCCCTCCCTCGAGATGTTCTAGTTTCTATGCAAGGTACAAAGGACTCGCCTGGGATGGGATCTGGAATTTCATACCTGCCTAAGCAGCAACTACCAAAGAGCTGCCTTACCTCTGCCTCTTAGGTACGTGAAGAGTTTACCACTAGTGTACTATATACGTATCACGTAGGGTAACTATTCCGGTTACAAGAATGAGCGAGGCACTCTTTGGCCCGCCCCCAGCCTACGGCATGGGACTTCGGCGACAGTAGAATGGCTGCGGCAGCAGAGTAAGGCGGTGAAAAGGGTTAAAAACAGGACCAGAGGCCAAGTGGAAGTATTCTTTAACTAGTCACTGTCCCGATAAGTCAGGGGTACTCAGTCCCTGGACAGTGGAAAGTAGTAGTCTGCGTACTGTCCTAAGTTGGCCAGAGCGTTTTTACTTGACCGCCTACTCAAGGTAGTAATTTGCCAGGCAGCAATGACTCTACTAAACCTGTATAGGCAGGCAATCAGGTATCAATATATGAATAGCTAAGAGACAGTAAGTTAAGTTATGCAGACTACTTCCCTCCCACTGCACTAAATGTGCTCACTGATAATAGCTATTGCGACCGGTTAAGATTCTATTGATACCGGCATTGATAGATCCCGGATAATCAATGTTGACACGGCTGAAACTCCGATACGTACCACCGGTGTTAAGCCCTCTTAAGTAGGCGGTATAGTTAGCTTTCTAGTCTAGTAGTAATACCGGTGGTATTGGAAAGACGGCTGGTGTCAATAGTGACTATTACACGCGCAGCAAGTGTCAATACAATCATCTCACCTTAACTACCAACGGCTTAGTAAGGGGAACGCGCTAAAGACACCTCGTGAGATTCCAAAACCACCTGGCTAAGGCTCTAGATAGTTTAGTCTATATTGGCAGTATTAATTAAAGCTTTTTAATACTGCTGTGTAGTATATCTATAGCTATATAAGTACAAGTATATCAGGATTCTTAGGATTTTTCTCAGACCGAAGGTATTGCTATTAGGGTTTCTATTAGAGAATATCTTATAATATCTACTTAGTAAAATGACTTAGAGTTAAGATAAGTACTGTAGTTTAGAAAAAGTTATATAATTAGTAGCTGCACGAATAGAAATTCTAGCTTTGCTTATACAATAGATACTTCCAATGTATTCTTAACTTACCGTTTTCCTTGCAAAGGCAAGGACGGTGGCTTTGAAATCTCACGAGGTGTCTTTAGTTAGCGCGTTTCTTAACTTATTTCACCTTAGTAAGGTAGTGAAATTACCAGCTACTGCTAAGTAACTAGGTTAGTGGCTAATACCATACTCAATCAATACACAACAGATCTTTGTACAGTGGCAGAATCCGCGCTCAAGTCAGGGCTACTTTTTTCTCAGCCACAATCACCCTGCACGCTTCCCTTCGCTCAATTCCCACCTTGACATTGCTCAGGAACGCCTTCATTGCTTCTACCGAGGAAGAGCTCTGAGACTGATCTTCTACTATCTCCGGTTGTAGGGGCCTCCTTATCTGACACACTGCACAATTAACCGGCCCCTGGTTCTGTCTCACAACTGCTAGCACGACGCAGCCATGGGCTTTCTCGCGGTCTTACTCGATACTATATGCAAACATTGCACAGAGTCTTCGAGCCTGGTCATCTTGGGAACAACACTGCTAGCCCTACTTGCTGTGTCTATTCTGCTCAATGTCTTGGGGCAACTTCTTCTCAAGAATCCGAAAGAACCACCTGTAGTGTTTCATTGGGTGCCCTTTATTGGCAGTACGATCAGCTATGGCATGGATCCATACAAATTTTTCTTCAAGTGCCGTGAGAAGGTATCTTCATAGGTCTTGGTCTTCTGGGTAGTTCTTTTGCTAACTCGCCATCAGTACGGTGACATATTCACTTTTGTTCTTCTTGGCAAAAAGACGACTGTCTACCTTGGGACTAAGGGTAATGACTTCATTCTTAATGGCAAGTTAAGGGATGTTTGTGCCGAAGAGGTTTATTCGCCCCTTACTACCCCTGTGTTTGGGAGCAATGTTGTGTATGACTGCCCAAATGCCAAATTAATGGAGCAGAAGAAGGTAATCAGACACATCCAGATGAAGACTGTTGTGCCGCTGACAACACGGAGAATAGTTCGTCAAATTCGGCCTCACCTCCGACGCCTTACGTTCCTATGTGCGTCTGATAACCGATGAAGTGGAGGATTTTGTCCAGAATTCCCCGGCTTTCCAGGGTGCTAGCGGTGTCTTTGACGTGTGCAAAATAGTTGCTGAAATCACCATCTATACAGCCTCACGCTCTCTTCAAGGCAAGGAAGTTCGAAGTAGATTTGATTCCACCTTTGCTGAGCTATATCATGACCTCGACATGGGATTTGCGCCGATCAATTTCATGTTACCCTGGGCTCCTCTTCCCCATAACCGGAAACGCGATGCCGCACAGAGGAAAATGACAGAAACATACATGGAAATCATTAAGGCCCGTCGCAATGCTGGAACTGAGAAAGACTCCGAAGACATGGTATGGAACCTGATGTCTTGCGTGTATAAAGATGGCACTCAGGTTCCCGACGAGGAAGTCGCGCACATGATGATTGCTCTTCTCATGGCTGGTCAGCATTCGTCAGCTTCTACGGCTTCCTGGATTGTCCTACACCTTGCAGCACACCCGGAAATTATGGATGAGCTCTTTGCTGAACAACTCCGTGTCCTGGGCCCTGATTTGCCTCCTCTTACATACGAAGACCTGCAGAAGTTGGATCTTCATGCTAAGGTTATCAAGGAAACATTGCGTATACATGCACCTATCCATTCAATCATACGTGCGGTGAAGAACCCGATGCCTGTGGACGGAACACCATATGTGATTCCTACATCTCATAATGTTCTCTCATCACCTGGTGTGACGGCAAGGTCTGAGGAGTATTTCGTCAACCCACTAAAGTGGGATCCTCACCGCTGGGATGAGGACCTTGCGTCTAATGCAGAAGATGAAGAGAAAATTGACTATGGGTATGGTCTTGTTAGCAAGGGCACAAACAGTCCTTACCTTCCATTTGGCGCTGGAAGGCACAGGTGCATTGGTGAACAATTTGCCTATGTACAACTTGGTGCCATAACAGCGGCTTTGGTAAGGTTGTTCAAGTTCCGCAATTTGCCCAATGTAAAGAGTATCCCTGAAACAGACTATTCAGTAAGTCTTCTTATACTCAGACATATATTTTGTATTTTACTTACTGGGCCTAGTCACTTTTCTCGAAACCCGCTGGAAAATCGTTTATTCATTTCGAAAAGCGTGCTCCTGCGAAGAATTGATATTACTCCTACTCTTATGCCTCAAAACAAATGATGGCAGATAATAGTAGATGTATATTCTTATTGCCTTATTAATTCTTATGCAGAACTTTTGGAAGACTCTATCTAATATTTATTAGTTAATTATCATGAAATAAGAAATAAACAGAAGGCCCAGTGTTAGCTTATGGCACTGCGGCTAGGAAGCTAAAATATATCCTACGAGTCAGAAACTTCTTCGAAAGTGTTGACTACTTGCCAAAGCATTGGTTTTTCTGTTCAGTCCATCGTGTACAAGATAGCATGAGCATGATTTATAAAAATAGAGTAACAGCAGCATAACATGAATGCCTATAGTACATGCAGCAAACTTTGGCGCAAAATTTGAAAAAAAAACAGGAGGAACAGGTGTACCACAAGCTAATGTGAACTTACTCAAGAATTTCTGGGTTTTTAGATAGTCCCTTTCCGCCTCTCTTCGCTCCTCCGTTTCGCTCTGACTTCCGCACGCCTTCTTTCACCACCATCCACCTTGACTCCAAGTCGATCCTCCCACATACCTTCCTGTAACTTGAATAAAGCTGCGCTGCCTTTGGTGCCCTTGATCGGCTGCAGGAAAGGGCCCCTTATAGTGTTGCCGTGGTGAACTTTCATATATGCGATCTTTTTCGGTGGCTGAGATTGGTTGTGGATATATTCTTTGGCATCTGGTGGCAGGTTGACAACAATCTTCCTCATACCTGGAGAGGAGTTGGCCGCATAATCTGAGAGTCTTGCGGATTTGTGGCTCTCGGCGACATCCTTTGGCTCCTTCGGGACTTCAACCACCCGCAATTGTGCTGTACCATTGACAACGTGCTGCAAGTCACCACCGGGACCGAAAATTCCTCGTCTAAATTTCTCCCTTTTGCGGAGCAAATACCGTCGCTGGCTTGCAGGTTCAATACCCAACTCTTTAAGCTCTGGTGAACTAATGGAAAATAGTTTGTCCCAAGATGGCAGCTTGCTGGTGTGTTTATTCATGCCACGACCAATTAGTGTAAGGAAAGTCTGGACGTCTGGGACAAATGGTGTTGGCGATGGTATTGCAACAGAAGGCACTTGTTTGTGAAGGTTCCGGAAGCATTGCTTTCCGATGGTAATAGGTCGCATTGCTCGCAAGGAGAAAAGATATGGACTGTGCATCGCCATTGTAGCTGGGCCGATCACTCAGTCCGGTCAGGATATTATGTCGTAGACTTGAGAATAGTAATGATAGGCAATAATCTGAAAATATGACTGAGCTGAGAGATCAAGGTGTTTTTTTTGGAACTCTAGACCTTTCTGAAGGCCTGCTTGGCAGTTGGCTCTCTTCTCCGGGTCGGGAATAATGAGGAGAAATTTTGGCGGCATCAATTCCAGCCAGGATCAACATAACTCCGAAACTTGCCTTCCTGGAGATCTGGCTTGAGATGCCAGATCCACTGTCATTCAAGAACAGAAATTCCTGTGACTTGTGTCCAGTTATCTTTCTAGTCAACCTTGACAACAGTTTTGACTTTGGTGGGATTTTTTTACTAATTCTTTCTTAGAGACAACCAGACGTTGCTACATTGTAGTAACAATGGCTGTTTCTCCTTTGATCCCGAACACTGCTTCGCATGCAGCCAAAACCACTGATGCGACAAGAGAGTCAGAAGTTAATGGCTCTGAACGCTCACCATACAAGCACAATATGAAACATTCCTCTCATGTCACCAATGAGCGTGAGATTACCGAGCAGTTGAACGATGATGTAAGGCACAAGTATATTAAAGGTATGATTTTATACCTCATTCTCTTGAATGGTTCTATGCATCCTGCCTTGTTGCTTGCATTACTACCTTGTCGCTGTACTTGGCGGTTAATGATGAGCGTGATTGTTTCATAGATAAAAGGCTCGGTGAAGGTACCTATGCTGTTGTTTTCCTCGGTCACCTTCGAACAGATCCGTCCTCGTTCGTCGCCATAAAAAAGATAAAGGTCAATGCGGAATATAAAGATGGACTTTCCATGGACGCCATTCGAGAAGTAAAATACCTGCAAGAGCTTTCACATTCCAACATAATAGCGCTTCACGATGTCTTCTCATCAAAGGATCAAAATCTCAATCTAGTTCTCGAATATCTACCGCGGGGCGATCTCGAGATGCTGATTAAGGATACAAATATTCACTATGGCGTCGCTGATATCAAGGCTTGGATGGGAATGCTCGCCAGAGGGGTCTGGTTCTGCCACGAGAATTTCATATTGCATCGGGATATCAAGCCTAATAACCTCCTCATTGCGGCAGATGGGGAAGTGAAACTCGCGGACTTTGGTTTAGCAAGGTCGTTTGCTGATCCCTACTTGAATATGACCCATCAGGTCATTACACGCTGGTATCGTCCCCCAGAGCTGCTCTTTGGTGCCCGGCAGTACTCGGGGGTTGTCGATATCTGGTCCATGGGCATGGTTTTCGCGGAACTCCTCCTGCGAGTTCCGTTCGTTGCAGGAATTACCGATCTCGATCAAATTACGAAGATATGTGAAGCTTTCGGGACCCCGAATGAGGACAATTGGCCCGGTGTAACCAAACTACCCAATTATCTGCCCGCTGATCCCAACCATGTCGTCCCTCTTCAGGGCCGAGATTTTTTCCTCAGGCAATTTCCGACAGCTGGTCCTGTCGGCGCAGATTTGCTGATGTCCATGTGCACCCTGGATCCTAAGAAGCGAAACACAGCTTGCAGGGTTTTGCAACACAGCTGGTGGACTACTGAGCCTAAACCAACCGACAAGAAAAACCTTCCTCGCAAGATCGATGGCGTTAAGAAAATGGGCGCAGACCTGATGAGGCGAGGGGGGGAAATTGAAGATTCAACATTCAAGAATGCGGCTCGACAGCTAAATTTCACTGCGCACAGAGACTAGCTTACGATTACCGGAACAGACTCGATGAGTCGAGGTCATTCCAGGCAAATCTTGAGGAAAGTGATCTACTGCAACGCGCGAGGTCATTTGTCTACCAGTGGGCTAAATCATCCAAGGTCTATCTACTACAGAAAGCCCCATTTCAGGGGCACACAGTCATGCAGCAGATATAGATTCTAATGCTGTTATCTGGTATTTCGACCACTGGTAAAGTGCATGAAGGGAACTGATAGCACCAGGATAACAATGAGCTTGTGTTCCTCCCTTCCCCCCTGACAGAGTCGGTGTTTTATAGCTCTCCCATATAGTACCACCTGAATCTGGGCTAGCGATTGCGAGGACCTCCATCCGCTGTCAGTCGAGATATCGTCATCAAGTAGCAAAAAAACCCAAGAAGCGTCCAGCAGCGTTCGGCATCGAGCTCTGCTGACTATGGATTCTTTCTTCTGTACCTTTTAATTAGATGCTGCTATGCCATGAGTAGCGTGGTTTCAGTTTCTAAGTCTACGCCTCGTATGGCATCAGAATCGATGCGTGGGGGTATGCATCTTGTCCAGTATATTTTGGCTAGTAGTCGCGTTGGATACTGTAGTGCACTGTACTAGACAAAACGAGCCGAAGGGCACCCCTACTTGACAGAGAGAAGTGAGACTCATACTAATTACGCGCTGCTGGTAAACAAGCATTTAGAGAAGCTGAATTTTACATTCATGAGCTCATGAGCTAAATCAAGACCAAGAATAGTAAGGTAATGGTCGAGCATGATGGAACAAGTCAAGGGGCTTTTCTGGCCAGCTTATGGGAAATAGAACCTCCCAGTCTCATGATCCCTATCAAGGCCCTCGCCATCTGCAGAAAATAACGAAAAAGCCCCTTGAGAATATTATCCGAATGGCATCTGATGCTCAGTCCTGAGTAAAGTACAGAACAGTACAGTACAGTACAGTTCTCACTCATACTCTCACTCGTGCGTACTGTACATACTAAGACACATTAAAGTAGTCTATATGATTTAGCCGTCAGGTGCCTGTCATTGATTAGTAAACAGTTATGAGGTGATCAATTGCAGGAGAGGGTTGCCACCCCGATCCACTATCCACTTTCCCAAAAGCAAAGGCGGAAAGTCCCTCTGCCTCTGGGCTTGGGCCGTCCCTTCCTACCTCATCAATACCTCATAACCAGCCAGGTACAGTACGTGTACAAGGCCCAGGAGTTGGTTAACAACTTAACATAAGGCCATAATCGAGTCGGCTCCAGGTACCCGTACCGCACCGTGCACCCACCATAGTATTCCGTACCGTGCCTACCTATCTATGGTACCTCAGCTGACTTCCATGTCACTTTGCCTGAGCAAAGGACTTAGGTATCAAGTCAAGATTGGTTAGTTAGTTAGTTATTTAACAAAGTCAAGTTGACTAAGCTAAGGAGCTTAGCAAAGAAGGAGCCTAAGGAGGAAAGCCCTTTTCACTCCCTGCCAATGGAGCCCTCATGGAGTTCAACCCTTTCTGCGCGTTCGAGGGCACTCATGTTTATTAGTGCCATTACCATTACCACTGTACGGAGTAATAGTTACTAGGTAGTTACTCATACTGAATTATGAGTAGATTACTAGATAAATACATTAAAAATTGCTGCCCACCCCTCTCCCCCGCTGCGCGCGCGGTCTAAGTCTCACTTAGAGCTCATTAAACATCCCGACTGATCTACAGTCGAACCTAAGTTCTTCTCCGTCCACACTATAATTTCCCGTCCCTCCGCCCCTTATCTGCACATTCATGCTTCCCTCCCCTACATCGACTATTAGATGGCAACGTACCGATCAATTCATGTTCACTTCATACAAAAGTAGTCATCTGCTCTGTCTCAATTTATGCCAATTACCAATACCACATGGTGACAGTTAAGCTCCTGGCAACGTCCAATACCGCCGAGTCGCGGAGCGCGCAAAGGTGTTTTTGAGCACCGCTCGGAAATCCACGGCCGCACTCTGCTGACGGTCCATGTAAGTCCGCATAGTTGCGTTTATATCCTGCCTCTTCTGAGCGATGTTATGGTCCTCGAAGATATCTCGAGATTATCTAGGTGTAATCTTGGATCAGATATGTTCATATGGTCCCCGAGCACAGTGTCTCATGTCCAGTCTCAGCCCCATGTTATACAATTTCAGACACTATCATCCTCCTATGTCTCCAGTTTTTCTAATCAAGCCTTGTTCTCCAGGCACTGCTTCCAAACCACTTTGAGTGTGAGATCCAGGGGTCTTTTCAACGTGCATGGACGATACAAGTAATACTTGTTGCAAATCGCTGTCGCTCAAGCCGTGCTCGAAGATTAAACTTGATCGATTAGGGGTCTTGCTTGATTGATGTCGATCGTTGATCGGCCTTCCCAAACGTCCTCATGTCTGAATTACCTCAACCACCCAAGCCCACCACCAGCTCTCCGGCTCCTCAACTTTCTGCTCCGAGATCACGAAAGAGCCTAGCAACTTTACCGCATACTCCAAGGACTCTTTCCTCATCCCAAGCTTCCTCAAGGATGAGCGCTCCCTCCAGTCCTAGGTCAAGTTCTAGCAGATCCGTGCTTCATAGTCCAACAACATATGTTGGTCCTTCGAAGTCCCTTATCAACACCCGGGTTCCCAGTAGTCCCGACACATCATTGCGAAGAACGGTCAGTATCGCAGCCTTCCCTCAGCCACCTAAAGCTGGAAGTCGCCCTTCGACTGCGTCCTCGATCTCAGGAATACAAGGCCTACGACCTTCCGGAAGTCTCAAAGAACGGAAAAGCTCCAGACTCAGCACTAGCACAATCAGTAGTTACCGAACCTCTAAGACAACATCCCTCATCCACGGAAACGGGGACTTGAAATCGGCTCTGAGTTGTGAGATACGGGACATGGATGCTTCCCCTCCCCAAAGCAGAAGCTCTTCTGCACAAGGATCTTATTCAACAAGCGCAACCACATATGAGGATGGTGATGACGCAGCCGGCATCTCCAAGTCCATTCTTAGGTCAAAGGAGAACAAGGATACGACAAAGGGAAATGTGATCGTGAGCGTCCGAGTACGACCTGATGTTGGGGGGATGGAAGCAACAAAGACACCTGAATGGACGGTAGATGGGAGGCGAGCAATTATCTCCTTCAATGGGAGAGAAGGTGGCGACTATCTATATGGTATCCATATCTTGCAAACCCCGGGCTCGGAGTGATGGTGTGCTGATCCCTACTCCAGATAATGTTTTCTCGGCCAATGAAAACAATGCAAAGGTGTACGACGCTGCTGCAAAGCGTCTCGTGAGGAGGGTAATGGAAGGCTATCACGGTACAGTATTTGCCTATGGCATGACCGGAACGGGCAAGACCTTCTCCATGCAAGGAACCGCAACCTCCCCAGGAGTGATTCCACTGGCGATTACAGACATATTCTCCTTCATCAGAGAAACGCCGCACCGGGAGTTTTTGTTGCGGGTGAGCTACCTTGAAATCTACAATGAGAGGATAAATGATTTGCTTTCAGCGTCAGTGTCCGGTGCGCCGTCCACTGCCCAACAAGAAGAAATCAAGTTACGTGAAGATAGCAAGAGAGGAGTATATGCAACTCCATTAAAAGAAGAGATTGTCCAGAGCCCAACACAACTTCTTCGTGTCATCGCAAGGGGAGACCATGCGAGAAGGACTGGCAGCACCCAATTCAATGCTCGGAGTTCCCGGAGCCATGCGGTTGTCCAGATCGTTGTTGAGAGTCGGGAACGAGCACCTGCAGGTTTATCCCAGGATAGGCGGTCAGGTCTGCTGCCTGGGGGAGTTAGGGTGTCCACACTCAGTCTTATCGATCTTGCTGGATCAGAGCGTGCTGCTGATGACAAAGAACGTCGGACAGAAGGTGCCCACATTAACAAGAGCTTACTGACTTTGGGCACGATCATCTCCAAACTTTCGGAATCAAAGGAAAAAGCCAGTGGTGCAACTGACAAGGAAGGCAAGCATCTGCCTTATCGCGATAGCAAGCTCACGAGACTGCTGCAGCCGGCTTTGTCAGGAAACTCCTTGGTCAGCATTCTCTGCACGATTCAGCTAGGCAGTCCTACCAAAACGCATGCTGGTGAAACCCTCAATACCTTGAAATTTGCAGCTCGAGCCAAGAATAGCATTGTCAGTCATGCTAAGAGAGCAGAGGAGGCAATGGGAAGTGGTGGCACTGACACAGGTAGTCGGGTTCTTCTAGAACGCTATCGTTTGGAAATCCAGGCTCTCCGTAATCAGCTCGAGTGCCAGACAAAAGCTCAGGTTGAGAAAGAACTCAAACTTGAAGAACAGCAGCTAGAAAAGGAAGCGCATGCCCGTCACGAAGAACAAATGTTAGAGATGCAGCTGGCTCGGACAGCGTTAAAGGAGCGTATAGAGCATCTGAATCGCCTTATATTATGTTCGAAGTCAACTGGGGTGAACAACCACGGGGGATATCCCTCCCTTGGTAGGCTTTCCAGACAATCCGCTTTCGATGCTGGGACGAGATCTCTGCGGTCTTCAGTTAGTCAGTCTACATTGAGCGCCTATGGACAACCGTCAAACCGCCCGATGTCTCTCATTTCGGTCAATAGTTATGATCCCGCAGCCAGTGCACAACTCGCGGGCTCTTTCCCTCATGAAGATGATGAAGAGAATATCGGCGAATTTGCAGATGGGAAGGCAAGTACCCAGCAACAGATTGCGGCCCTTCAAGCTGACCTCAATGACAAAAATCGATACATATCCACGTTGGAGAGGCGGTTGTTGCAAGCACGCCGCTCGAGTCATTCTCGTATATCAATAGGCATGAAGTCTAGCAGTCCAAATGCTGATTTACCGGATGCAATGGCTTTGCTGCGGGAAAAAGACATGGAAATAAATGAACTTCGTCAACAGTTGGACGACAAAGATCGAATGCTTACAGCGCTCCGTTCTGCTGCTCGACATCGTGATCTTGCGCACATTGCCATCGATGCCTGTGGGCCTGGCATAAAGGAAACTTTGCCTCACCGCCACAGTCTCGTGGACAGTGACTATGCCTTGGCCTACACTCCAGATAACAACTTCTCCCCGCGGTTCGAAGGCACCCCCGACGGGAAGCGGAAAAGTATGGACGAGATGTCTCGAATCCTTGATGAGATGATTCAAGATCGTGTTGAAAGCGGTCAATTGATCAAAGGCTCGCGTGGTAGTGTTCGTGTCGTTACCAGCAGTCGTCGAGCATCGGAGTCGGTATCCGGGATAGCGAGGTTGACTACGAGCAACGCCGATTAACTACGTCCCTAGCCAGAGCACTAAGCTTTGACGTTTTCGCACTATCATTTTGGATTACAGGAGAACTCTTTTCGCCAGGGTGAGCACCCAGACTCCTCGAACAATTAATCAATGACAGAGAGTGCACTGGCCTTGAAGGCCCTTCGGGGAGAGCTGTTCTAAAAGCAGAATTGGTCCAACAGCTCCTCGATCTGATCACCTCGTACAACCGAATATTCAACTTCATCGAATCTCAATTGGTTTTTGACGTGCAGTGAAAGGCCCCGCCATTTGGCAAGACGAGTCGCCGCTTATAGATCGAAGAAATCAACGCGTCGCCTCAAGCTTACAGTCCCCGCCCCCAGGAATTAATTCTAATTTATGCTCATATTGTTCCAAAAACATTATTCATTGCCATGCACCGGGCTTTGGGGTGTTAGGGGTCGATTTCCCTTTCCAGGCTAACCCATGGCAATACGATCATAGGAGTTTGCCTACATGTTGTTAAGGTCGGGTACTTTCTCTCATTCATGTCGCACATGCTTTATGTCCAGTCGCTTCGTGGCTCTTCTCTTCTCCATCACTTCCAGATACCCATTCTTGTCCCCTTTTCGAAGCGATTCTGGCTTTTGGTACATGCTATATTCCATTCATTTCATCATCATCATCATCACCACCACCATCCTCATCAATTCAAACATAAAAATGTCCAGAGAAAGTTTAAATTTTCATGATTTAACTAAGGCATCTAGAAGCTATCGACCATTAATTGAGCCAGTTGGCTAAATGTAGAGGCTATACAAGCGATAGCTCAGATCTGCAAGTGTTTACTTGGGATTTGAACCTCACACGTAGTCAATTCTTGTCACTGAGATTCTGGGTTGGTGCGTCCATCATGGAAAACACCAGTATATTGGGCTTGTTTGAAATATCCTGAATAGTTATTTATATATTCACTCTGCTATTACCACACTGCCAGAACTATCGTCTTAACAACTTATGCAACAATCTCAATATCGGATGCTCTATCTTTAGCATAGATATCTTTCCACTGCTCCCACAGCCTTTCTAATTCCTGCACATACATCGTGTGAAGTAGATCGATGTATTTGTCGTCTACCTTCTCCCTGTCCTTTTGCTGTGTTACCCTGATAGGGCGACCCACCACAATATTCAATGGCCGTCGATACGGCATCAACCCAACATCATAGTTGAAGATACCACGTGCATGAAATAGAGGAATTGTAAAGCCCATCGCACGTTTAACAAGCATCTGAAACTTGTGTATGATAGGGTGGTCTTCAGAGCGTACTTGCTCATAAAGGTCATTCTCACCAAATGCTAGTATTGGCACAAGATCAGCTCCTGTACGTATGGCTAACTTGATGAATCCTTTTCTGCGCTTAAGCACAAGGCGCAAAGTGTGGGGAAGAGCATCCAGTGATTCACGGGCACCACCAATGACAATTGTTATGGCACGACCCATTCCTTCACCATCAGTTCCTCCTTTAGTAAGGATATTTTCACATGATTCGCGGGAGACGCTGGCTATGCCCATAGCAAGTGCGTACTCCCTGTAGAACGGAATTCGGAAGTTCGAGTCAAGTGTCAGTAAGGTGTTTGTGATACCAGGAAAGAGCTTGGAGAACCCAAGAGCCTCGGTAGCAAACGCTGCGAAGGCGCCGTGTGATATGATTCCATGTGGATGATACCCGAAGATATATTTCCTCGTTGGTGGAAGAGGTTCAGATCTTTGTAAGCGGGCTGGAAAGTAAGACGCATACAATCTCCAGACACGGAGGGAGCGCAGAAAATTGCAGCGACCGCCTAGGCTCCCTGATGTTGCAGCTGTCGAAAAGAGAGAGATGTAGATCAGATAGGGTATCAGGACTGGCCATGAGAGCGGGATGGCACATGAGAAAAAGAACATCGTCAAAAAGATAGCAATCGTTAAAGTATGGCAGAGAACCACGAACGTCTGTAAGCGTCTTTCAAGGCCGATATTCAATGGTGCCCAACGGATTCTGGTTCTCAAGTCAGCAGAATTTCTTTTAATACAAATGACGAGAACAAATGCCCCTAAGAAGATTTACTAAAAACGTTTAAATACCTCCTTTCATGTCGATCCTTTTTGATGCTTCGGGCATGGTAAAAACCACTATCATCACTGGAAAAGTCATCACGAGTGATAGTTATCGGCGACCGCTGCAGAGATGATGGTTGTTGCTGTGCTAGGCTGTCATTTCCAGTCCCAACAGGGGCACAACTCCCAGAATTAGACATCGGTGGCTTAACAGCTCGAATTGAGCTTGGTGCTTGTAACTTTGCGAGAGGAATAAGCTGACATATAAGCTCGGTTCGGGGATCGAACTTTGACAATACAAATCTGGAATGAATGTGTTATGAAGCATGGACAGTAAGATCATAACGGCCGATGACGGTTGACGGGTCAACCCACACTGGTAGTGATGTAAGTGTCCACCACTCCCACTGTGGATTGGGCTGAGGTATGCGCGGAGTACGGTATGTACTGTACCACACATACGCAGCACCGTCGTTTACAGCACCATTAATTCCGTGATCTAAGGCACATGTGATTATCTCTACAATCAATGGAAAAACACACAGGAAGCGCTGAGAGAAAATTCTAGCCGATCCGAAGCTATATCGACGGAAGTACGTATACTGCCAACCAAAAATCTCATCTAGAGCTACACTCAGTAGCGTCATGATGATAGGAACAGACAACCATTATGAAAATGTGTTGTAGCGGAACTCCATTGAAGACCAGACTTGCAGCATCACGCCGAGCACATGATCATGTATTTAACAGGCGCGTGTAGATATAATCACATTGGGTATTTGAGTAGTAGGAGAAATTCTAGACGAGCCTCTACACTACATGAGTCAAGAGACAGGGTCATTCAGATTATGACTTGACCATAAATATCTGAGATTAAACCAGTAAGCATAAGTGAATATGTGATGAGGCAACATTCTTACCTCATTCAGAGATTTCTCATCGAGAAGAGCTCTCTTTTTCTGTGCAATGTGACGGCTTCTGAAAACATGCCTGCCCATCGGACGGCGCTCCCTTGATGGCAGAGACTTTAGTGTCGATGCAGGCATTTCTGTAGGTGAGTCACGATTGGACTCGTCTTTTTGATCCAGTGTCTCTGTCTTTGTGTGTTCGAAATCGCTATCTTCTTGCCTTTCCTTGTTCTTCCGTTTCTTGGACTTTTTCTTACAGGAGGCCTGGTTGTCTGAGAGCTGCCTTCCACAACTGCCATTATCCTGACCTTGAGGACTGATAGGAGATGCCTTGAGGTCCACAAAACCGGAACTTTCAGGTCCTTTCCGGCCATCAGTAGCACTCTTATTAGTCCTGCGCTTCTCAGTGTCGGGCTGGATTTGAGCTGGCTCTTCAGATTCACGGACATCGGCCTTTTCCTGAACCAAATATCCACCACTAATGAAGTTAACTGCCTGCCATCTGCTGGCCGCATATCGAGCCAACTTTGCATTCTCGCGCCTCTTCTCCTCGATCCCCAGTTCTGCATCTGACTTGCCATTTAAGCGTCCCAGCAAGCCTCTAAACGCATCAAGACCAGTGGGTTCATCTAGTACGTCCCGCCTCGGTCGCGCGCCAAGACCAAGTGTATCATCTTTGATAGTAACGCGGATATGAGACGCGCTTGCTGTGGTGAATAACTCAGCATGTGCAGCATTTCGTGCACCCAGAAAGCTACCCGGGGTCCATCCCTGAGAACTGAGAATCTTGTGCCCGAAGCCAGTTGTTGAGCGCGACCAATTTGTATTGTTAGGATCGTGTGAGATCTTGGATTTCCTAGACAATGGACATTAGACCAAGTAAGACGAGGAAAGTAGAGCCTACCTACTTTCGGGGTGCAGCAAGACCCATTTGCTAGATCAAGATGGTTTCTCGGCCCGGGGGAGGGGGGGTCCTTTCTTTGCTTGAAGTATTTGTTCACTGCTAATTGTTGAGAGAAGTACTAACTAGCCCACAAGAGAAAGATTGAAAGAAGAGAGGGAATTAGCTTTGGTTGGGGGGGGGGGGGAAACGTGCTCGGGTGTTTGCAGGGATAAATGGAGAGATTGGAAAGTAATACTCCGCACACGATAGGGAAAAAATCTAAATCTCGGGGAGATTAGATGTGAGACTTGGAAAGAGTTTTGACCGCCTACTAGCTTAGGCAACTTCCCCCCCATCATATCCCATGGTACAAATACTGCTGGTCACTAGACTCCAGCTTGTGGTTTGGCCGCCTGCCTGATAAAAACAAAACGCGACACGATAACTGGAAGTGTTCTCAGATTCCCGATCGGGGAGGCGGTAGCAGAAGCATAAGGGTGCGATAAGCTGTGCTCAGGGGGTTGTTGAATTCGACTCTTTTCCGTGCTTAGAAGCCTCCCGGAATATACTTAGCACAACGTGGCCTCTTCTGTATACTAGATTGTGATTCATCTGTTTGCCTCCTTCAATTTGCTCCAAAAGCCCTCTTTTCTCTTACTATAAACATAACAGGCTCTCTGTCCATCTGAAATATTCTTTAGTGATCCAGACATTAAGGCCAAAGTTAGCCCAAATCAACCGTATTCAGTGGCACCATGGTATGCTATAGATCTATGCAGTGTGGCGTTAAATTGGCATACATATGGTCTTGAATACTGATTTTAAATTGCAGGCTCAAACACCACAGCAGAGAAAGGCCAATGAGAGGTATGCAAAGCATGAAGCCGCAAAGCGTGGCAAAGGAGGGGTGATGGCAAAGCCAAAGCAGCACTCACGGTCTCCAGTATCTACTGGCTGGATTGGTATGTTCCCATTAGCCGCCATGCCAATGATCATCTGGTAGGACTAAAAAGATTTGACAGTCATCCTTGCGTTCGTTGTTTGTGGTGGAATATTTCTCGAATTACTGGGGATTGTTCCTCGGTTATGGTCCGCTCTTGTCACGAACTTTAGTCAGTTGCTGCAGTAGGTAAAGACACAGCCTGCTACGTTGCAATATCGCATGTTATTATTTTCCACGACAAATCGATGGCCACTGTCAAAGCGATTATATTCGGGGCCTCCGACCCTCAACTTCTTGCTTTAATGCTTCGAATGCATTTATGTTACCATTATTCTGCTGCATTGTCCAGCAAGTCAGATTCAATCCTGTATGACCCTAGCCATACACCATACAGCCAAGTGAGGTAGTACCTACTAAGAAACCTAGCTACTGTGGTTTGAATCAGTTCTTGGGCCGCTTCTTTTTCTTCTTCTGCTGTTGTCGGTCATTGCTGCCCTTCATTAAACCTGTTTCATCATCAGGCCCTCCAGTTCCCTGCATATCATTGACCACAGATTTTGTCTTCTTCTTCTTTTTCTTGACCAATGTTCCCTCCGAAGGGATACCCATTGGCTGCACTCGCTCTGTGGCTCTTTGTAATCTGAGACGAAATTGTTCCACTTCTCGCATTGCCAAAACCATTTCCGCCTCATCTTCGACCTTCCGCACGATTGATTGATTATCCGAGAATGGCCTGCTCTCGCTAAGTTGGGGATGTTCCAGTCCACTGGAATCGATCTGAAGTAAAGACCGTTTCCATTTGCTAGCTTCACCTGCCCTATTGGCTGCACCGGCCTCGTCGTCACCTAGCATTTCATCGGGCAGTACATCATATCGCTTGGGACGTGATCCTATCTTTTTCCGGTCGTCAGACTGAGCCATAGACGGCGGCCGATGTCCCCTTCCGGCGTGCAACTGGAGATCGATTATCGGAATGGCATCAACATCCAATTCGCTTTCATTAGAGACGGTGAAAGAAGGATGGTGTGGGCTCAAGATGTCATAATATCCGTCATCCGTCCCAATATAAAAAGGATCATCCTTACTTCGTTCCTTGCTACCCAACCTTCTAGCGTAGGTGGACGATTCTTCCACCATGATACTCACTGGTTTCTGGTACTGTGTCCCATGAGCTGGGTCAACCGCGACGAAGTCACCAAGCTGCTTGTCAGATGACATGCCTTCCCTACAATAGTAGAACTTGTGGCTGGGCACTTCATACTCTGCTCCGCATGAAGTTCGTAGATCGCTATCGAAGAGATCGCAAAGGCTATCATTGAATGTTTGATGTAAATGAAGCAGCTCAGGTGCCGTGACTTTCTTCTGAGCGTTCACAGAGACGGGGTTCAATTCGAGTCCTTTGAATAGGTTTGGAATGACCGTAGACAAGAGATACGGTACTTCATTCCAGTTGTGCGAGTCGGAATGTACAGCATCTGCTGCCAAGCGCATGACCTCAAGGAATTCGATAGCTCGTTCTTGTACTTCCAGGTCAGGATGCAAACTGAGAGAGTTGAGAAACTCAATGACCCGGACCAACATTAGAGACATTTCACTCCTCTTTGTTCGATCCCATGTTCCCTTATCAGGCAGAAAGGTGTTGAGCAACTTGGGAATGGCTTGCACATAGAGTGATAACGTCCTCCCTGGCAAGGAGAAATTGGACATATCAATCAAGGAAAAAAGGGTATGACCAGGAGACAGCAAGTGCTCGGCATATTCGCCAACCATCCACGCGAGCGGCCCGAGGATGCCGTTGCTTGCGCCTGGGACCTTGAAGGAAAGGGATTTCCGATTTGCAAGAGAAAGCAAAGAGGCTGCAGCCCTAGTTGCTTCCGCGCGGGCGTCCTTGACCCGAACGGCCACATTGCGTAGCTCGGAACCAATTCGACCAGTGATATGTGACTGGCGATCCGCATCGTTGCCCGTACGAATATTATGAGGAAGCCCAACATCTTCAACTTCTGGGGGAAGAACTTGCACTAACCGCACCAAGGCGCCGACATACCAGTCAAAATCAGACAGATTTGCATAATTTCCGTAGGAGCATATGTCGACTATCCGATGCAACACCTCAAGTTGGTAATCAAGCGGTAAAGGTATTGTTGTTTTGCGGTTAGCTGAATCACGTCTCATTTCGCGGCCGTCTCCTTCAGAAAATTCATCATCAATCCCGAGGCGGTCATTCCCGGTAGACTCACTTGAGTTGACCAGCTGCAAGATCAACCGCTCTATTATCGCCTGAAGGTTGTCGCTGGTGACCATCCTGGTTGCAAGATCAAGAGCTTGAAGTCGAATCGAGATGTCCGCATCGTCCAAGCAATACATAATCACATCCTGGTGCATTGAAACCAGCGCGGGATATGCCGATACAATTCTGTTGAAGGCTAGGAGTGCCACATATTTGACTAAACATCCGCCATGTCAGCTTCTATCTCACGTCGTATGGCAGAAGCACCTACGATTCGGATCCGAATCCGAGACGACCATGCCCCGAAGTTTTTCCACACATAAATCGGCGATTTCGTCTTTCTCTTGAGCACCTTGATCGCTATCGAGTATGCCGCCTTGTATCAGGCCATTGATACATTCGTAGAGTAAAGACATGGCGGTTGTTGTTTGGATTATGTTCACCAAAGGCCGAAGCAGCTTCCGGACTAATCGTGGCTCCAGAGGAGTAAGTGTGGCAAACTAGGACTGTCAGAATACTAATGAGTAATGATACCGAAGGGTCCTTCATCTTGATGACCCAGACAACGTACAAGCTTTATTATCTTGATAGCCATCCAATTGTTGCCACCGTCGACAAGCAATTCGAATAACCTTGGCGCAAGAGGTAGAAAGTCACGAGGTCGTCGCCATCCAAGTTCACATACCACGTTTAGAACAGCTGTAGTGACGCTAGAATCCTCTGCATCGTCCATGAGGCGTTCCTTGATTTTGGGCCAAGCTAGTTTCAGAGCGTCAGGGTATACAAGAGCCAGCCTATAGAGGCACACAATAGCTTTTTTCCGGACCACAGCATGAGTGTGAGATATCCGAGACAAAACATCTGGTAGCAATGACATGGCAAGGGAGGTAGTGATGATGCTGGGCAATGTGATTAGCGGAAGGGACATATTCGGAATGCTTGATGATACTAAATCCTGAGCAAGAGTTAGATCTATATAAGGACTATGGTACTCAACAGCGCACATACTTTCTTTAAGAGATTCGTTGCCAGCATTAGTACTTCTGTGTCCGGTCTGAAACTCTGCACGGCACCGAGATATCCAGCTCTTTTCTGTAAATATTTTGCAGATGACATTACTTCGAGCACATGAAAAGATGCCCAGGACATGTCATAGCCGAACATCTCCAAGTAGATCAGTTTCAAGAGAGCCGTTGCCTTCTTATCTAGGATATGTTAAAAGCATGGTCCCGCAAATATGTATGCTGTGCGTACCCATATCCTGCAATTTGATCTCGGCCTTGCATTCTCGAAGAGACTCCTGTATATATCCATCCTCGTCTCCTTTGTGGCTCCTGAGGCCCTTTATCAGGTCATATAGCGACTTTTCGAACCTTCATGCGTTGAGTGTTAGTTGTTTATGTTCTCAGTCTGGGCCGGGGTACCAACATTATGCTTCGACGGTGTACAGCATCTGGTAGAAATAAGCGCAACCAGGTTGATAGTCTTCTGCGCTATTATGAGCTGTGATTTCAAGAGCAATTCTCTGGTTGGGAACAGCCTAGTACATGTTGCACGTTGACGCATAATCCTTACCGTTCATGAGCGATTACGTCGAGCTGCACCGTCCAAGTCACGGGAACAGAACTCTACTATCCCCGGTGCGGAGTAGCTCCGCATAATAACGTCTATCCTTGCTCTTCCTTATTACCTTCTATCTACATTATTCTCGAATTTCTGATTGTCTCCTGCTCACACTAATACAAGTTGAATCTTATCTAGTCTTCTTCATTGATTCGCCAACAGCGACAGACCCATCATGGTGCATGATACCCCTGAATTGCAGTATGAACATAGTTCGAATCTGATCACTATCTCTCGCCTTTCACAACAAGCGCCTCGAATACTTGAACAGCACTCTCCAAGTGGTAATAACTTTCTAGTTGCACCATTTCTGAAACGCCAGTATCATGAGTCATATGACTTGTTGGAGCAACTTGCCTTTGCATGCTTACAATCAGGGGATGACAGATCCGCTCTCCTGTGCATTGATAGACTAGCGAGCCGATTCGGTTCTTCGAATGAAAAGGTGACAGCATTACGAGGCTTGCACGAAGAAGCTACTGCAGAAGATCGCGCAGCTTTGGAGGAATGTCTGCACAAATACGACGCTATACTGTCAAAGGACCCAGTTAACCTAGTCTGTGCCTTCCTATATGTTCATGACACTATCCGGTAGCTGATATACCTAGCAGCCGATTTTAAAACGCCGAGTTGCCCTTCTGCGATCGCTGTCTAGACCAGTGGAGGCCATTACGGGCTTGATAAGACTTCTGGATGCTGTTCCAACGGATTCGGAGGCGTGGTGTGAACTCGCAGATATGTATCAATCTCAAGGGATGAGTTCACAGGCAGTTTTCAGCCTCGAGGAGGCACTGTTGATTGTCCCGAACGCTTGGAATGTATGATTTTTACTGTCGATCGTACACACTCACAGAAAGCTGACTCTCGTGTCGCAGGTACATTGCCGGCTAGGAGAAGTCTTGTATTCCTGCGCCAGTTCGACTGACGTAGGAAATGCTTGTCATCTTTTACGCCGATGCATTCAGTATTTCTGTCGAAGTATCGAGCTCTGTGCCGAATACTTGAGAGGCCTTTATGGTCTGTTTGTCGTAAGTACTGCTCAATTTCTTTCTTCCCAGAATTTATTTTGGCTCTGACACATACCTTGACAGGCAACATCACTCCTGCTTGAGAAGAAGACGGACTACGAAGAAGAATTATCAGTCTCTGCGAATCCCATGTCAACCGATACGCTGAAAAGCCTCAACACATTTGCAAGGAGGCGTCTCGAGGAAATTGTGGCTCGACGTTCGTTAGATCATCACTTATGGGAGCACGGTCAAGCTGAGCTTATAGCCGTGAAGGAGCTTCTCGATCGCTTCAATCGCGCTAGCGATTGAATGCAACCTAGCGTATGGACTTAAATATGCTTTAGTGAAAACCAGGGCCAAACTGATCTCTAAAGGAACTAGTGTCTCGCTCTCTACTAGCGAACGTACTCCGAGTAGATGAGTCACTTGAGTCCAGGCGCTTGTAAGACATGACGTCTCTGACTGGCCAATGAGAACAACGTCTCCCCAAGCCCTCCCTATCAGCATAAGGTAGGTAGGTACTAGGTACGCAATCCACGGCAGAGTGGGCGCCAGCCGAGCGTCTGCCACAGATTGAGTCTGGGCGCTCCGAGTGCGGTTTTCCGCAGTTTTCCGAATTCTTATTGATGCGCTACGCGCGAATAATTTACATACTAGCGGCATCTGACACGAAACGAACACACAACTAGTATGTAGTGATAGGAGGGGAGAGCGTAGAAAAAGGAGAGGGGCGGTCCATTTGTACAACCCGTTGGCATGGATTTCGATTCTTCATTGGGCATTCGGGCAGCACTACACTACTTTTTGCTTATGGGTAGAGAAGAAGAATGGTTGCCAACTCAGTGCCTAATAGTACCACCAATGACGACAACATTCAAATTTGAGAACAGGCATAATGCCTGCCATGCCCAAATCTCCACCGCGAGGCCTAAAATCGTCTCGATCAGGCAGTAGTTTCTTCACATTCTTCGTCGTTGTCAGTCCTCGGCGAGATTCCATCTATCTTCTTCTCCTTATCCTCCGCCTTCTTCTACCTTTCCCCTCCCCTTACCCTCATTCTCCTTTCATCTTCAAGTGCCACCCTCCCCTTTCTCTCCACCCTCTAGCTAACGCGACCTCCATCTAATGCATCGAATCATAGAGGTATACTTGTTCCATTATAACTTCCTTGTACATGCTTGCTTCCCTTGTGCACCCTTACTGATCTGCTGCCTATGCCTGCACTGAAGCCAGCTATTGTCTGGAACGCTGCCAGCCTCTAATCGTACCTTGCTTCTTGTGCGAAGAAAACACTAGCCCTTCACATAGCACCTGAAGATAGTGAATGCCGCTTTGACCGTCCAGGGCCATTGCCGATTTTTGAAATTATCTTCAGTTTCACCCCCACCACCAAGATTCGACAGTCGAGCATCTGCCCCTCGACGGGTAACTGTGTCAACCTCGAGTATTTTCATGGGTTACCCATTCTGGCCTTTGAATTCCATCTTCGGTCGGCTTGTGTTCAACTGCTTGCGCAAACTAGGCCTGGACGTCAATATACAGTAGACACAGCGAAAGAAGACGGGAGTCAGAGAGAGCTCTGAAAATCAGTTGAACCCAATGACGTGCGTTGTTGCTCTAAGTACTAGCTACCTGCTTTCTGACAGATAACAGACTGAATATCAGAATTGACCCCGACTCGGAATCCTCTATCTCAGATGAAGAAGACTCTTCTGGAGTGCAGGTTTCTCCTCCTTCTGAGTCTGAGAGTCATGGGTACCAGGATTCGTACGACGAATGGGCGCATCTATCATATCCGGATGAATTGAAACCATCGGATTCCGCTTCTCGACCCAGAACATCACGCCGGCTACGCGCACATAGTTCAATTCATGGCCCTTCGTCTGCCGTTCGCCGCCACTCTACAAGGCATCACATGGCATCGGAAAGGGACTCATTTAGGCGTTCTCGTCGAAATCCTTCGCCGGACTCCCCAGAGAGCGCAGACTCGGCTGAGGAATATGGTGTTCCATATGGGCGTATGCCTCAAGAACGGAGATTTTGGTCAGCTGTGCCTCAGGGCACACGGTACAATCATCATTCCTCTCCGCGACAATCATATGTCTATCCTAATGGGAACTCTATACCGCATGCTGCGTTTATGCACCCCAATGGCGTTGCGACTACATCGGACCAGCTGATAAGACTAGGCCATCAAGGCCAGCAAATACCGTATGGTCAATCGATGTACGGGTACAACTCCCAATCACCTGGTCCTCTGCCCCCTTTTCTAGCCCATGAACGTCACCCAGGACATCAATCACACCCTATCACAGCCGCTTCTCATGGACGGAACGAAGGGCACAACCCGCCCCCACATTCAATATCACACCACATGCCAGGACATGGTCCGCCTCCCTATGGGCCCCATGATATGATGATACCATATGGCCCAGGGACCTATTATCCTTTCCAGGATCCTTACCATGTGGTTCCTGGGATGATTCCGCCCTATTACCATCCATATCATCGCGCGCCATCTCCTAGTCAAGTCGATCCACCCGAATCCCCTGTCCCGGCACCTGCCGATACAGAGAAGGATGAAGCTATTGCGAGACTCGAAAAACTGATATTGGAGGAAAGGACGGAGCGCGAAGCTCGGGAAGCCAGAGAGGCTGCCAAACAGGCTGCGACCGAACTGGAAGCCGCCCAGCAAGCCGCAAGAGAGGCACGTGCCGCGCACGAGAAGAAAATAGCGGAGGACGCTGCCTCACAAGCAAGGGCGGAGGCCGAGCAGAAAGCTGCGGAGGAAGCCGCCAAAGCCAAGAAAGAAGCAGAAAATGCGGCGGCTGCTGCTGTAGAAGCTGCTGCTGCTGCTGCGACAGAGGCAGCGAATGCGGCAGCTGCAGAAGCTCTCGCAGCTGCAACAGCAGCCGCAGCGAATCCGCCACCTCCGGAGAAAAAGAAGCCTATAAAGTTCAAGGATGCAGTCGGGAGGAAGTTCAGTTTTCCGTTTGACTTGTGCTGTACCTGGAAGGTAAGGAAAACTCAATGTGTGGAATGCTATCTATGGCTAAACGTTATTTTAGGGCATGGAAGAGCTTATACGACAGGCATTCCTTCATATCGAGGTGATAGGTCCTCATGTCGCTGAAGGACACTATGATCTGGTTGGCCCTAATGGCGACATAATTCTGCCTCAAGTTTGGGAGACTGTTATTGAACCAGACTGGACCATAACTATGCATATGTGGCCCATACCAGAGAAACCCCAAGCCGCTGAGCCTGCCCCACCAGCAGATGCAGTCGAAGAACCCTCGCCTCCACCCGAACCTACAGCAGCTCCAGATGAGTCTGCAGTCCCTGTCGACGAGGATTCCAAGAAAAAACTTGATCAAGCAGGTAGGTCTTTTATTCTCAAATTATGCAAAGGCGTTCTACGATGCACTTGCATGCCACCATGTTCTCATCAATAACATTATGCAGGTCCTAAAAAGCCACGGGCGAAGGCTCCGGACCCTGGTGCTTTTGCAATGTGGATGGTGGGAGGCAACCGCCTAAGGTTAAACAAGGCTTTAAAAATGGGAAAAAAGCCTAAGGCAGTCCAGCACGGTATCTCCTGCCGTGTTATGTAAAGTGACTTAGGAACTGTGATTCGCTCTCAGATTGCGTATCATAACATGCAACAGGGGTATCTTGTACTGCTTGCCTGTTATGATAACATTGTCTTCACTACTTCCATCTGCCATGGAGTAATAAAACAAGTAAGTAAACAATCCAACAAGTCTGACCGCAGTGAAGCTGATCGTTGAAAGTGCTCAGCAATCTGTGACGAATTCAATACTACTAAGTCACTTAAGAGGGTCTCTGCTTTAGGGGTGCATGGCTTTTCCTCCCGCTTGTTCGGGATTGGTTTCACGTGCCCATGGCTGTGCTTATGCGCGGTCTTCCTATCTGACGTCTAGCAGCCTTGCTTGCCGTTAGGTGAACAGGTTAGCCCAGAGCTGCTCCAGGTTTTGAAAAGTATATGAATCAGTCAACATTTGCGAGTATCTTATAATCCGACTCCCGCAAATCGGCACTGGTACATCATGCTGGCTGTAGCCTTGTATATATGGTTATCTCAAACTCATAGACTCTTGAAGTAAAGGCGAAGAAGTCGATCTACGTTCCCGTTGGATTATACAATGTGCATCTAGAAATAATGACAGGATGATGTAACATCAAGAGTTGATTTGATACTAGTGGATTGGGCTCTGCGGATTAAATCGTATTAAATCATCTGTGAGGCTGGGTAAAGACAAGATTTTACTGTTTAGGATGGAGCGGTTCCCAAGTGAGCATATCGTTGATGGCTTCGCCCAATATATCATGTTTCTGTGATACAGTTTAGTATCCATTTGGTTAAATGAAAAATATCAACACATTGAGTTCACTGACCTTATGAGTCACCAACCGATCAGCGATATTATGTGGGCGCGAATTGTACGGTCCAGGCGATTCTTCTCCCCCAAGTGTCTTTGTTGTGCATGCCGGTAGCGGTGGACTCATGTGGTTTGAATCCATCATCCAAAAGGCTGTTTTACTCGATTTCTGGGATTTTGGGTCATCCTGATACGGTTCTCCAGGCCCTTCAATAGTAGCATCAATGTGCTCTCTATTCGAATCATATGAACGGCGGTGTCTTTGATACCCTGAAAGATTCATCCTTGGTGGCAGAGGGGGTTTGAGTGCACCATTCTCGATTTCAGTAGACGGCGATACTTGAGCCCAATCGTTGTCGTCCCAAGAAAAGGGATTTGGTATACGTTGTATATTCCAGATATGACTTTTGGAGGGAGGTATCACCTGTGATCGCGCAGACTTGCCTAATTCATGAAATGAGAAGTATGAGTATAACAGACAAGTTTGGACTAGTCGCGTGGGTTTTCATAGATTAGAGTAGTAATGTGACTGACCATGGTTTAGCCACCATTTGTCATATGCAGCGCTAATAGCTGACTCCTGAGTCTGCGTAACAATTCCTGGGTGATACAGCTTTTCAGTATTGGCATCTGCTTTTTCGGGCTCACTCGCGACCACAGCGCGTTTGCTATGCCGGTATTTCCTATAGAGCGTATGTTGCAGGTGGGCTTTCTGTTTCTCATCAACAACGCTGATCATGCATGTAAATATTGCCCAAACTGGCCTATGATCGGAGAATCGCAGATTCGCGCTGCTGTAATGAAGCTGACGTAGATTTGATCCCTTCCACAGGACTCTATCGCACCAGGCGGGTATACGTGCTTTTTCCCTATGAGGTCTCAGTCTCCTGCTCACATGACAACATGACATATTTGTGACACTAACGAGGTATCGTAATGATCACTCCCGATATCGTACTTGTACGTTGGAGGAAACGTAATGGGTCCTTCGGTGTAGAAGTGGAAGGCTCTACCTGCTAGCATTTGTAGGTTCAACTGAGAGAGTTGTCAGAGCCACAAAGATCGACGTCAAGCTCTACCTCGGAAAATACCTGGTCATTATCGTAAAGCTTCTGGTAATCTCCCCGAATTGCTGATTCTCTGACAAGTTGATTGGCAAGTCCTATCCGATAGTTGAAGTCCCCAAGCCATATGATGGTGTCATGATCCTCAATACTCCTATTTTTCAAGAAGCGAAGTCCACGTAAGATGGTATCATAGTCTTTGTTCCTCTCATCATAATTAGCGAACCCAGCAGCAAGATGGGCAGTCACAAAACAGATGCGCGTATTTGAGTAGTCAAAGCGAATGGCGCAGCCTCCTTTGTTGCCGGCCATTCCTGATAAGCCCGTCTACATGAGTACAATCAGTGAAAGACGAAGTAGACGCCGACATGTCATGTGAAACCTACCTTCTTCACATTGCCTTCAACATTCTTAATGTATTTCAGGCTATCCCCTCTGACGAATACCATAAGAGCAGCTCCGACAAGTTGACCACTTCGCAAGAGCACGTACTTGGGAAGTTTCCTGGAGCTCGCTTCAGAATTGATACAGCTTTGCACATTCTGCTCCCACACTTTTCGGGTTGTAGGATCAGTCGACATTATCTGCTGTGGACTTAGCGTAACAATCTCCTGAAATCCAACCGCAAAAATCTGTGGACCGTCATCCTGGCGGTTGAACCCTGAGAGCAACCACGGCCGTAGATCTATATTGGGCCCCGGGTGACGCCCGTTAAGGTTGAATGTTCCAGCCCAGATTTGAATCGATGTAGTAGATGAATAATTAGATGATAGCTGAGCCAGCTCTGTTGCAACTTGATCATTGACCGGGTCAAATAGAACTACGGGGATCTGGCCTGTTAATCGCCCCAATAGAATATCTATTGTTTGTTGGCGAGCTTTGTCAGAGAAATTATTGACATAGATGCGCGCCGCGGTTTTTCGAACATCTGCAAGTGCACCTGCGATGGACATCTTGCCATGGCGCGTAAATGAGCTTTTAAGGGCGCCAGTGCCAGCATAGATTTTGGACAAAGCATCGCCATTGTCAGCCCACAAGGTCGAATGTCTCAGTTGGAGATTATCGTCGATTGAACTCCCCTGTTGGTGAAGGAATGCATCAAGAGCCATGGCGCTTATTATTGTTTGTACGAGATTCGTCCTATCGAGACAATCAAGACAGTTGGTTCGGAAAGCCCCTTCTTGCTGTAAAATGACGGTGTTACCCAACGATTTCTGGTTTTGATCGGGGATTTCAAGGTCAGATTCCTCTTCCTGAAAGTAGGCAAAGCCTTGCAGAGAGTGAAATATCTCGGGTTTGATCTGGCTGCTGGCACCATACCCTGTTGGTCCTCGGGTTTCAGCATGGAAATCGAATTCCGTGAGCTGTAGAAGACTATGGTCCGAAAGGGCTCCAAGTGCAGTTTCTTGACTTATACGGTCTCCTTTGATGAGTTCTCGAAATCTTCTGGAAAGCTCTACTTCCCCCGGCCTGAGTTCACTCAGGAGGTTTATCACATGTATTGCACCATACTTCAGTTCCAGGTTCTTGAAATGTTTATGGAACGCATGTTGGCTCGCCTCAACGGATCGGGTTATTTCAATTTTCTGCTGTCCTGGGATAAAACCAGTAGCCTGCTCCCAAAAGATCGGCACTGATCCACGCAACTGAACATAGGAAAAGGTGAGATGAGGAGCAATCCAGAGTATTGTCTCGGTCTCAACAAAATTGGCGACGTGACCATCATCGTCTATGCCACGGGAATTGAACCTTGTTCCCGCACGTCGAGACGACTGGCGAGATATTATTGTGAGCGCGGAAGGAAGTCGCGTGTGTCCCCGGGAAATGATTGGGACTGAGGATGGTATCGTTAGTGTACCACAAAAGCCTCGGATCACACACGTCAAGATGCGCGAGGAATCGAGATGATTCTTCTCGGCCGGGGCTAGGTATTTCCTGAAAATAAGAAGGGGATTTATCAGGTATGCATTCCAAAGCATATCCTCATCCAGAGACTCTATGTCAAAAGTTGCCGATTTATCAGATCTAGTCATTACTTCGTGAGCCCAGGCGTCAATTCGCAAATGCGACTTGGCTTACCGATCTTGCAAGCGATCTGTAAGATTAAAATCAAGACTGTAGTAAAAGCTCCCATCGCTCAATAATTTCTTCAGGGCCAAAAAAGGGACATCGATAGGCGTTTCCCTGAGGTCATACTCTAGTTCGGTCTCAGTTACCTCAACTGGAATAGAGGAGTCCACATCACGATATAGTCTATCTTCGTATCTGGAGTGGCTCAAACAGACTGAGCCCAGTCAGCAGATTCCTAATGAGATTGATGATGAAACCTCACAGAACTCCACCTTGTCTATTCTGAAAATAGATTCCCCAGGTCGTACCGTCGCGGCTTTCGAGGAGCCAGTGATAACGCTTACAAAGACATCTTCGTCCAAGTGAATGAGACCGAGAGTACCAAAACCTTTACCATGGATTTGGTAATCTTCGAATTGAATTGAGGATACTGGGACCAGGTCGACTTGACAACGCGGCACGGTGTCGCAGTTGCGACGCCTTGTGCTTTGAGACTCCGACTTAAATAGCAACGCGTAGTCAGAAGTAGCAAGAAGAACAGTACGCTGAGGAAAGTTCCGAGTGTAAATCTGAAGGCTAGCCATACTTCAAGAAGTTTGTGAATTGAAGATATGGAGCAATTGTACCAAGACGGGAGGATGATCTAGACTATCTCCCGGGAAAATCAACCTGTAAGGAGTATTCTAGCTTTGGTAAGAGAAGCAGATCATTTAGTAACAATTTTACCAAGGTTGGTGTCGGATGAGACTGTACTCTACTTCCAGTATGACCTGCTGATATGAGAATACACATCAACTGGAACTTTTCTCATAATATAAGGGTAAAGTCCAATATTAAGAACCGAGGTGAGTAGCTATGGGTTAGATATCAGATATGATCTCGAATATGCCCGCGGGGAGCTCAGTAGTAACATAATCGGTAAGCGAGTGGCCACCCGCGTCCACTAAAACAGCCTTCTATAAAAAGATAAAGCTTTTATATACTATATATCAACAAAATAATATATTTATTTAATATTTTAAGATATAGAATATCTAAATTATATATATTAAAAATTCTCTATTTACTGCAGTGAGA